TGTTGAGGGCTGTGTGGAGATGAACTGGGGAAGTAAGAAAGGGGAGTGGCGTAGATGGGAGAACGGTGGAGGGAAGCATGGAAAATGGTTACAGAACATTCACTGGAGTAATATATTGACCAAATGTTCACTTTGGACGAGCGTGTATTTTTCCAGCAGAAACATTAAAGAACAAACTGACGGACAAGCCATCTCCTCCCTGGACCTCTTTTAATGAGAAGAGGAGCTGAATACTGAATGTTTCCTGTGGAACTTCAGTAGTGCTTTGAGAAACACATTGTGTTAATTGGCATAAAACATGAATCTATAGTAGTATAGAGGGTTTGCTTCATGTGATTTCTTTCAGACTTGGGAGAATGGAATGATGATCAGTGCATGAAGCGGAAGCCTTTCATTTGCGCCTTCAAGCGGCACGAGTGGCAGCGGGAGCCGGACGATTGAAACACTGGAAGGACTCTACAGCATGGCTTAACATCAGGTGACGCATGAAGATTCATGCAATGTGCAAGATCAGTAAAGAATCACAATTTTGAAATGCTTTGCTGAACCCATGCCAAATAAAATGGATAAATATCAACAGTGACTTTTTTCTTATTAATAAACTGCCAGAAGCATCACTTTAAATGCATTATTGACTGATACATTATGCAGGATCAGTTATTACATTATTGGTAAGTTACACTAACTTACCACATTGTCATTGGCAGTTCTTACGTTTGTCAGGGTCTGTCTTGTGCTCTGTTTTGGCCCTTTGGCCGTCCCCTGTCATCCCGCTCATTTAATCATACCTGTCTGACTGTCCCTGTATATTAGTGTCTGCTTGTCCTTTGCTCCCCAGCCTGGTCAGTGTCATCTGTGCAGTAACCCCTCCATCTCTCGTGTTGCTCTGTTCTCCCCGTGATAGTGTCTCCCGTGTCTGGTTTCCCCCATTGAAGGTATAATATGCCTGCCCATTCCTCTGGGCATCTCCAGATTCTTCTTTGTAAAGAGACAGAGGTCTGTGCCAATGTATCGATTACTGGGTCCTGAACACCATCACGGTGAAATAGTGAGAACCGCTCCTACTCATCCACTCTGGGTGGAAGCAGCTCAGGTCGTTACCAAATTGAATCTGGGCAGTGCCTATAACCTGATCCGGATCCAAGAAGGGGGGTGGGTCGGTGAACAGTTCTTTGCTCTTTCAGACATTCATGAACAAAGTCCTGTTGCACCAGTTTTGTCAGACAATATTTTCATTCACTCCATGCCCATGGAACATGTTCATCACGTACGCCAGGTTCTCCAGCGCCGCCTCCTATGCAAAGTGTGAGGATCTGTGATTAAGTTCCTGGGGTACCTGATCCCACCAGGAGAAGTTGAGATGGATGAGGACAAGGTTAAAGCTGTAAGCAATTGGCCAAAACCACAGATGGTGGTAACCGCAGTGGTTCCTGGGTTTTGCCAACTTATCGTTTTACCTGAGGATTCTGCACCATGGCAGCACCCCTAACAGCTCTCCTGCACGCTGGAAGAACCACATTCTGGTGGACCCCAGAAGCCATAGCTACTCTCCAGCACCTTAAGGACCGCTTCTGCTCTGCTTCAGTTTTTCAACAACATCCAACTATTCCCTTTGTGGTGGAGGCAGACACCTCAGAGGTTTGAGTTGGTGCTGTTCGCTCTCAACCAGGAAAAGTCAGGGAAGGTGCACTCCTGTGCATTCTTCGCTAAAAGCTAACACCAGCAGAGCAGAACCACATCATTAGGAATCAGGATTTATTAACCATCAAATTTCTCCTGGAAGAATGGAGGTACTGGTTGGAGGGTGTGGTGCATCCTTTTTTCGTACTGATGGATCACCACAACCTTGAATACCTAAGGACCACCAAACAAATGAACGTGTGGCAATCCAGCTGTACCCTTTTCTTCACTCTGATTTTACGGTCTTGCATTCCAGGGTCAAATGTCAAGGTGGGTTGCCCATTCCTTGTAGTTTGACTCCTCTGCAGTATGAAAGGAACCAGGCCCAGTGCTTCCAGCCATCTGTGTCCTGGGACCTTGAGGGAGCCATCTGGGAAGCCCACGATCAAGGTCTGCCACCTGCAGGCTCTCAGCCAAGGAAACTTATGTTCCTCTTGCTTTTAGGTCCACAGTGCAGTGAATACACATCACTCCCAGTCCCAGCCATCTCTTGGAATGCTGATATTGGTGGCTCAGATGGAGGGAAGAGATGGAGGAGTTTGTGATGTCTCGTCCCATGTGTGCCCCAGAACATCAGAAACCAGCTGGTTCGTTGCAACCCTTGCCGACTCCCACATGTCCCTGGTCACATCTGGCGTTTGACTTCATCACCAATCTCCATCTTTCAAGGGTATACCGTAATCATCATCCTAATCATTGTGGATCAGTTTTCAAAGATGAGCAAAGTTGTGCCCAACCCTCTCCCCAAGCTTCCCTCAGCAATAGGATGCTCTCTTCACATAGTTGTTGCACTATTACACTGTTGTGGTAGATATAGTTTCTGACTGCAGGCCCCAATTTACCTTTACCTTCTGCCGTCATACTGTAAGTGTCAGGATCGGTGTCCATCTGACCCTGTCACATGGCCAGCAGATGTCACTGGCCATCTCG